GATATTTTCACATACAGTAAAGTTTATACTTCAGCCTGCTGGGGCTGCCTCAGACGCTGAGCATTTACTTGGTCTTTGCTGACAGTCAGCATGGCTGTGTGCTTGTACAATGCACCAACTATGCACACGACCCAGGCAGCATCATTTAGGTGGACTTTAAGAACCTGTAACAGGAATGATACTAGCCAGTCTCCAGATGTCCATATCTGTAACAAAGTATAAAGACTTCAAACATAGTTTTGCAGCTTAATTTTTCAACTTTTTGTGGCCATTGCAATGAATGCAAGTTTAAAACAGTACCAAAAGCACAGGCGACATCAACACTAACCAAATGCATGCCTGTAGGAGGAGCATAAAACTCCCGTAGTAATCTTGGCTGTTTTGTCCATATCTCCCATAATGTTTTTGGTCAGTCAGTCTAATCACTTTAGATTTGGAATTAGATTTTTGTAAGTGTTACTTTTGGCTAATGTTTGATGGTTTATGTTGCCAACACCAGTTTTTCTGTACATAGTGTTTAAACCATTACCGAGGTTAGATTGTTTGAAATGTACTCATTCGTAATCATGAATTTGTGACTTTAACTCTGACTGAATGACGTTCATAGTAGTTTCTTTTTCCATTCAGCTGTAAGCCGCACAAAACATCGCTGAGGGCTGCAATTAGCAAACAAGGCGCACTTGGAAAACCCTGGTTGTAGAATATGTGAACAAAGAACACATTTATGTATGTTTGAACAACAGTGTGAAATAAAATAGATGTAATGTGTGCCTGTGCCGTTTTGGGGGATTTAGTGTATTAAAGGTAAATCAGTTATAAATTGCAATCCACTAAATGTGCACACACTGAGTGTGAGCTAACCCTGTCACATGCATGTGCTTCACAGAGGCCTGTTCCTCTCTCTGTGTTTACCTGCTTTGGTTTTCTTTGTTTGCAGAAGCGCAGACAGTGATTACGCTGTCATCGCAGTAACTGATCTACATGTAGGCGGAGCACATTAGCAGTGATGTGAGTGGTTCGTCAGTGCAGTGTACTGGAAGCCTTACCTAACAGGCTGTTAAATAAGATGTGCTTTCAACCTGTTTCCCCATTGTCATTATTATCAGTTGTAGAGCGCAGCGCTGAGCAGCTATGCAGCCAGTCAGAAAGAGAAAAAGCAGCAGGATATTAGAGCCCTCGCCACAGATTCATTTTCCCCGTGCATCGGTATCTGTGTGTTTATTTACAAGTGTGTGTGTGTGAGATTTCTTTTTTTCCAGGTGATGGGAGATAAGCAGTTGGAGCATAAAAGATCAATCAAGAATAACAGTATGCAGAATGCCATTTGAGTTAAACCTGTGCCTGTGCTCACAGCCAGCAATCAATACAGACTGTTAACAGGCAGTAAACCTGCCTGGTTCATATCAGCTCACAAGTGCAGCAGAGGTAAAGGAGGCAGAACGGCTCGCACGCTAATTGAAAGACTGGCAGGTTCCTCAAGTCCACCTGTCAAAGTTACTGAACCCCAACTAATAGCCAAACCGGGTGATTAGGCAGCAACTTAAAAACAAATAAAGCTGACACTGGTTTCTTCATCAGGTCAAAATGAACTTTGTTCATTTGATTTGTGTTTCTCCCACATTAAACAGAGGTTCTTTCCTTTGTTGGGCGACTGCATAAACAAAACGCCGCTCGGTGGAGTCGTTAAAAACAGAGACTTTCTGCAGAGCTTCTTTAAAGCAGCACATGTGGCTTGACCTTGCTCTCTAGTGCTCTTCTTATGTGTTGCTGGAAGTATTTGTGCCTTCTTCTTGCACCTGGTTCGACTCAATAAACATCACTCAGTAATCCAATCATTTCCTTTTGACATGATATTTTCTGTTGGCTCAACCATGCATCAACTACTGTTTCAAATCTATACGTAAATTGTCCAATGAAATTGTTCCGACAAGATGATGTAGCTAAAGGTTGATATCAGGGTAGCAAACATGATGTAGTTACTCACTGACTTCATCCTGCTCAGCTTTGAACGTCACCTGAAGCTGTGACTCTGCACTACATATTTCAGCAAATTCAATTATGCATCTTAAGCAGTTGATGAGTCATTCTTGAGCCTCTGATCATTATACTTTTGCATAATTCAGGCTTCAGCAGAAACTTGTTTTGCTTTTTCTCCTGTGAGTCTCTGCGTCTGCTCACAGGTGCTTTTCAGCCGGCTCATATAATACAGCGAGCTTTCCTGCCTCTGCCTTACTGTTGGTACCGAGAAATAAAATCTAACACAGGTCCTTATCTCTTCACTTGAAATATGATGCAAGTGGTCCCCATCGTTCAGTCTCATATAAGGGAAAAGACATGTCTAAGGCCATTGTCCTAAACCTCACCTCAGTGCTTTCCTTGATTCACCACACAGCGAGCCGGTGGGTGGGTGGATGGGTGAGATTTTAGGAGTGGATTGTGGATTCAGGGGCTTAAAGATCAACCAGGTGATGGAGCTGCAGGCTGAAGGAGGGATGATGAATTGATGTCACATATATCAGCCTGCAGAGTAAAGATGCTCTCTCACCCACCTCTCACTCCCAACGCTTGTGTGTCCAGTCTGTTGATCCAGGACAGCAGTTCACCTGGGAGCACTCCAACCTGGAGGTCAACAAGCCAAAGAACCGTTATGCAAATGTTATTGCGTACGACCACTCCAGGGTCATCCTCACACCCGTGGACGGTGAGAAACAAGCAGTAGTCCACCTCCACTTTCTGATCTGCTGCTTTTGTTTTTGTTTGCTCATTATGTCCAACTGTGCTTCTTGCTTAAGGAGTTCCAGGTAGCGACTATATAAATGCCAACTACATTGACGGGTACAGGAAACAGAACGCTTACATCGCTACCCAGGGTCCGCTGCCAGAGACGCTGAGTGACTTCTGGAGGATGGTATGGGAGCAGAGGACATGCACCATTGTTATGATGACTCGCCTGGAGGAGAAGTCGCGGGTGAGCTCCATTAATTTCGCAGGAAGTAGCAGACAGTTTTTTATGGCCTGAACCTATACATAAAGCTTTTTCTGGCACTTCCTTCAGGGCTATTTTTTGGGGGTTAAAGAAGTTATATACTGTGGGAGAAACTCCTGCGTGGGGCATCTGAAACCTGAACAACCTGAACAACCTCAAAACCAAGCGACTTAGACAAAACCAGATGAATAGAAGCACAAAAAGTGGGAAAGATGTCAAATTTCAAACCTGGAGTGGTGGATAAGAGACAGACAGTGGCTGAGGTTCAGCAGGCTAGAGCGAATAAGGAGAGAGGCTGGTGTTAATGGACATAAAACATTGTTTTCTGTCTGTTTACAGCAGTTCCAATCCAAACACATAATCAACACTAAACACACCTCTGTCTAACCATGCAGGGACGCTCTGCTCGTCCTGTGCATGTTTGCAGACTTGCAGCTCTAATGCAGACAGACAACAATAAGCAATAACAGAACACTAGCAGCCTACTGCAGCATAACTAAGAGAGCATGCAGAGTCATGTGATCCAGTCCTAACTATAAACTTTATCTAAAAAGAAAAGTTTTAAGCCTGATCTTAAATGTAGAGAGGCTCTCTCCCAAATCCAGACTGGGAGCTGCTTCCCATTTAACTGCAAATGCTCTGGAACCACAGTTAAGCCTGCACGCTGAGAGCAAAGTGGGAATATGTGGTACTGTGGGGTCTTTAAGATAAGATTAAAGACTTTTTATGTAAAGTGTAACAATGAAACTGTATGGTATGATTGTTTAATTCATTGTTTATAATACTCCCTAAGGGTAGCATGTATAATGTAAGTGGTCCCAGCACATAACCCTGTGATTCCATATATAATACATATGTGGTTCGGTACATAATTACAAAAATAAAGTATATGAAGAAGACTCTCAAAAGAAGATCATCTGTAACCTTCATTCATGCTGTTTCTGTGCTCAGATGAATTCTGAATCGGACTCAAACGCTTCAGTTCGGTGTTTGTCAGCTACGTTTTCAAAAACGTTTGAAACAAAAGGTTATAAATTGGTTGTTATTAGCTTACACAGCTGAGTCAAGTAAAGGCTTTTATAAAGTAACAGTTTAACTAGCAGCCTGTGGACTGTAGCCCATTAAGCAATAGATTCATCATATTTAAAAATTAAAAACAATCATTAATGGGGAAGCTTCTTTGAGCAGTCTTCTAGGAATCTTTAACGTTATAATATAAGTAAATATCAGAGTTGTTACAGTTGCTGTACTTGACAGCTGTAAATGTTTCTTCACTAACAGCTGCAGTTTTATTTATGAAGAAATTCATGAAGTTAAAGTTAAAGGAATCTGTCCAGTTGAATTTAGAAAACTACAAACTGTGCACAAAGTTGCCGACACGTAAGTGACTGTATGTGAACCAGACTGCTTTAGTCCTCTGTTCATCCATCTATTCACTTTCCTAATTATCAACCTCACATGGACCATATCTCCTATCCTAGCTGTTCAGGTGAAATTCACTCAGGACAAGCTGATAGTCCCCATCACATGACTAATGCAGGAAGACAGACAAGCATAGACTCTTGCATGCATGTGACCTATTAAGAATCACCGATGAACCTGACACCATATCTGTGTGAGGAAGCGGGCAGAGGAAATCTGCACAGCAGCACCTTCAGGAACTTTCTTCCTGTGAGGCAGGAGTGCTTATCAATG